AGATATATAGATAGATAGACGAAAACCAGTGGGGTACATGTGCTTTCTGGAAAACAACGTGATTCCAATGCGGAGAGTGGCATTAAATGTGAATGAAAGAAGTAGAGTCGAATAAGCTAGTGGAACGACAGTGCTACTCACTTTGTTCTCAGTGAATTGCATCGTGGCCAATGCCTGATAGCTGAGGAGGTTATTCTCATCCTGAATCAGGCCTACACGAATTAGTTCGGCTAGACATGAGCGATAGATTGTGTAAATTGCTGGAGCAGATGGAGGACCGATGTACAGACGGACATCCGCACGATCCAGGAATGCAGGATCAATCACTCCGGTGACATTCGATGTGGCCAGAATTAGAACATTCGGGAAGCGTTTGATCTGGTCCAGAGTAAGGAAAAGGAAGATCAGGTGTAGAGAATCACGACCAATGCAGAATCGTCGTTAAGCGTAAACAGCACTGGGGAAAGGCACACACGATGAGAAAAGCGTTAGAAAAAAATGCATTTACATAAGGGATTTCATCACGAAAAGCTGCACAAGAAAAACACAAATTGAACAGCCTGGCCGCTTTGGCCTTAATAAGTGTTAACAGCGTCGTGATGAGTAAACTTGTGTTCAACGTACATATCTTTCATGTAACCTTGTTCTTTAGAAACAACTGGCATCATGTTTGACAATTGGACAATTTTTCGATTGAAATCACAAAGAAATAGCGTTCTTCGGAGTTTTCTCTGTATTTTCGCATGTTGGCATTTGCTAAATTGAGATATCTGTGGCGGTGTCGCGAGATCCGGCTGTGTGAAGACTTGACTATTGACTACAGCGGTTCGGCCGGTGCTGCTGTGAGAAAACAGGACAAATTAGACTATCGTTGTTCGAACATCGCTGTCTACGCAACATTCATCATCATCATCGTACAGCGAAATACCGTGAAGCGAACTTCACTGACCGCTGCCAAACTCGCAATGCATACAAGGTTAGTGGTAAAGTTGAAGGCGGACAGGAGTTGGATCTATTTTGAGGAAGGGAGAACATGAGTCACTATGGTCAACACACAGTACGCAATCGAACTCTGCATACATACCGCTTCAAGCATTCTGACCTGATAAGAAACGACAACAAGAACGCCACTGCTGCCGGTTCGCTGCCATATCCTTCAGTGTCTCCAACCAACCAGTTGTGCAGTCTTTCGGACCCCAACCTGGAAGGCGAGAGACACCTACTCTACCTAATGGTTTTGTGCATTTTTTCATGCCTCGTCTCCACGTCATCTGTTGACCTCCACGTGGTTTCCTCCAGCCCGGATTAGCTACAGTGAATAAAGCGCGGTGCGGTAGACCATGGCTGGGCATACGCAATACGTGCTCTAACCACCGAAGCCTAGTAATCTGAATTCGGTATGCTAGCAGGTTTATGCCTGACAGACACCCAAACACACGACGGCTTACCTCCAGGTTACTAACCCGTTCGCTCCATCCAACATGGGCTAAACTGCGTAAACACCGATAATCGAAAACTTCTAGTCGACGGATATCTTCTACTCGCAAATTCAGAGTCTCACAACCATAATGCAGGACTGAACGAACGCTAGCACAATATACAAGACCTTTCAACTTCAGTGAAACGGTTGATGGCTGTCTAAACTGCATCTTTGCTTACAGCTTTTGATCCACTTGACTTCGAAGATCACCCCAATCTCGGACAAGATTGCTGACGATGAGCATACACCTACGGAGCCTCGTGCTACCTGACTTGGACTTGTGAGGATGCTATTCCATATCTGAATGAACACCCACGTGAGGGAGAACATTTTCCAGATGATCTGGTTGTCACCGTAATTTTTCTAAACGCTTGGAAAACGTGAGGTGAAAAATGTCGCGAGTGACAACCGTGTTTTGTCGGATCAGCATGGCAACGAACATACACATATCGAATACAAAGGCTAAATAAAAGTTCAGACATGGTCAAACAAACAACTGGAGCTCGATTCGCCAACGGTGACAATGGGCAAACAATGTATTAGGTGAAATGGAAGCCAGCACCCCATACGGATGAGTGCAACAAGAATCCCGGATGGGTTGTTGACAACCGATGACGCAACCGAGAATGCAATCATTTGAATTCATTCTGCTCATGATCTCGTTACCAGTTATGACAAACGCTGCTCAGGGTGGTAAACAAAGGACGTGACCCACGGAAACTTATTCCGCGGACTGACAAATCCCGTTTCTTATGCTCACCAAAGCAGGGCACAGTTGGATAACAGAGATATTTATCACAGCCACTGCAATTTGCTTTCACAACCGACTCAACTGTGCTGTAGATAACGAACGCAATACGTTCCGAGTTTATCTTTTTTCGGAGTAACACCCTCAAAACCTGCCATTCAAACATTGGAACCGTGGACCTGCTACCGTCAACCCAGTAAATCAGGATCATTTCATTCCGTGACTGATTAGAGATTTGTGCTATTACCGAACCAACGGAGAGGAGAATGTACATTCCGAATGTACCAACATTGAAACGGCGCGTAGTGGGAAGAGAACGAAAGAGATGTTGCAGATCAAGGTGCCACAGTCAGCTAAGTCAGCGCTTCCAGATGACATCCGAGTACTGATTCATTGCGCGAATCCGATAGTGAATAATGCTCAAGAATTATCGCCATCTTATCAACCCCGTCAATCTTCCAACCCGCCTTTTACTTTAACAGCTTTCGCCAGTTCAAAGGTGATAAATACTACGATTTCACTTGATAGGCTTTTCCAGTTTCAGATCATCCCGAGCATAGATCAGGGAGATTATTTAAGGAATATAATTTTCCCTGGGCTAACCGGTGTTATTTTTCGCTACTAATCGGGTGGATACAGACCTACGAGACGGGACGCCTAAAGAATACATTATTCACTCCAAAGCCTACAGATCCAGCAAAAGCATTTTTAACCTTGTGTACACGGTGTTGTGAGATGGTTTCCTCATTCTCAATCACATGAAAAATCTTTCCAGTTGTAACTTACGATTATGTAATTGTCGATACTAGGTACTCGTTTAATGCTGGGAGTGGGGAGGTGAAGTGAAGGCACTATGTGACGGGAATCACGAATAGCTGTAATTCCCTTTGGGCTATGTGCTTGCACTACACAAAGGGAAGAACAGTTGCCTTCTGGGTTCATTGTCGAAATTCAGATGCATGGTAAATGTTTGAGAAAAACTTTAAAATTATTCCGTTTTAATCAATACGGTTACGGATTCAAAGCACTATGGTACAACTGTAGCCCAGTCCTCAGTACTAACTTTGATATCCTTTGAAATATTTCATTAGAAAAAACTGATGCTACTAGAATGATTTCAGTATATCTTTCTCCTCCTTTCCTCTCGTATTTACTCTTATCGTTTCGGAGTTAAACACAGTGTAATCTTTGAAAAGATAAAAGTAATTCCCAAGCTGAGGCGGAGATCAGGATGTCCAATAACTAACACAGAACTCAGTTAGACTGCCGTGATTACGCTAACAAACTGACCTGATCGATCTGCGTCAGTACAGCATTCACAACACGAATAGCATCACTGGGCTCGACACCGGACATGGCGGTATTGCGCATTGCAGTCAGGCTTTCGACTTCATCCACCAGAAGACAGACCAAATGATCAGACGAATCCAAGTACTCTTTGATCGCGTCAAACATGCGAGCGACTAGACGAGCACTCTCAGAGAACCATTTGGACA